TCTCCAGGGTTACCCCACCGTTTCTGTCATTTCTCGCAAACAATAGTTCAAGGCCACTGAGGCCCTTTTCCCACGCCCAACGCCCTAGGGATTGTATAGATGGTTAGAAATTGATCGTGTCCATCTATCGACCTGTCAGCCTAGCCAGAATAATAGGTTGCTTAAAAAGATCATTCGTGTTGAGTTGCAAAGTCAAATACAATAATATAATCTAATGACATACTAGCAACACGGAGTTCGAAATAAGTATTCATGCCTAACCAACCTACTTATTGGGAGAGATTAGTAGACAGAAGCCCTAGATAACGATCTGTCTGTCGATATGATATTCGCAGACTTTAGCAAAGCGTTTGACCAGGTTTCTCACCTAAGTCTTATTCACAAGCTTTGGAATAACAGGTTCTGCATAGGAGTAGATAGTATACCTCTCGTGTAGCCGCAGATAGAGAGTGAAGGTCGACGGGACTCTACCTGAATAGAAGCTACTCAGAAGTGGTCTACCCCAGGGAACCATCCTTCTCTATTCCGATGAATTGCCGCGATTGTTTAGGTCGTCGTCATAATGGTTTGCGGACGATTTCGAAATCTGAAGAACCATAAGAAGTTAGGCAGATCATCTTGATCGTCAAGATGACTTAGAATAATTAGTTAGATGGTTCCTATGTTGTTGTTTGAAAGTTAATTCTTAAAAAGAGTGAGCTCATGCACATCGGACAAGGTAACAGTTACCAGTACACTATCGACGGTACATCTCTTTCATGCGTGCAAGAAAATAAAGACTTAAGGGTTATAGTAAGTTACGATTTAAACACAATTGCGCATCGCATCTTAGAAGCTGGCGAAGATTTCCGTGCGTTATGGTTACTTTGCCGAACATTCATATGTTTTTGCGAGTTGTTTAGAATTTTACATGCCAGCTTTTTTAGACCACATTTATAGTACTATACCCAAGCAGCTGACCGATGTCTTATTAAAGATGCTGACTCACTTGAGCGTGTTCAGCGTGTCGTATCTTACTTTTCGAGGTGACCTTATATTGGCATTCCGTATCTTTAACTACAATTAAGGTGTTAATATGTCTCATCGTTTTTCTCTTTACAGCACTAATAATCTTCGAGGCCATAGCAAGAAGGTTCGAAAATCGAGATTTTATATACCTATAGTGGGGTCTCGTTTTTCTCGTCTAGTGGTCAATGACTGAAGTGTCTTACCCGAACAAGTGGTATAATCCCAACAGTGAATATTTTCAAGAGGAAGCTGACCCTTCACTGGAAAACAAACTGTAAGGATTAACACAGGTTCGCCAGCCTACTATCCTTATTACAGAAGACTGAAGGCTTAAAAGTTATCTATCTATGAGGTATATAACTTTTAATCGATTTTAATCAAGATAGTTTCCCATTTATCACTACTTCATATCTTAGTCTACAGACGAATTTTCCTGTCTTGTACAGTACTCGTTTCAATAAGGCGGGAAATTGTCTGCTTCAGCCATGAGTGAACTACCTGATAACAGATACGATATCTGATCAAACTAGTATATATGAATTCTCGTGCAATAGTAATCTAGGAATTCCGCCACTACATTTCATTCTTTGCCTAATGTAAAAAACGATTGGTTTGTACAGCTAAGGCCATTTGTCCTAACTGTTGTAGGGTGTAGATAACCAACGTAAATGTTCTGTGTCCAATGATTGGAGGCTTACTTGAGTTAGATGGGTATAGTGTGACGAACGAGCTAACGCCGAAGTCACAACTCGTGATCAGCACCTTACGTGGACTAACCCATTGACGTATCAAGGTACTATAGATGCTTTGAAGACTGTACAACACAAAAGACGTTATTACAGAGATGTATTAGTTAAAGTAGATAAAAGCGAAAGTAAGACCACCACTTCATGGGCTAGTTCATGGCGCACGAGCAACTGATGCGCGTTGGTTGTCCCTGACCTTGACGAGGGTCGATGATTTGTTCGATATTCAATCACCCAACAGCCGGATCATTCGGTTAGGGCTCAGTGAAATTTCACTGACCCTTGTAGGGCCAAATCATAATGTCGAGCAGTTCACCGGTCTTCGTGCAGCTCAACGACACAAGCTCTATTTCTACACCAGGACTAAAGTGTAAAAAAGTTAGCTAAGATATCATGTCACTAATACGCTCGACATTGAACGTACAACGTATCATTCAGAGCCTCAAGGTTAGTACGTTGTCAATGGTGTGTATGTCCTCTGCTTTAAAACGTCCACTGCAATCACGGTTTTCAGTAGAATAATGATTTCCCCAATGACTTATATTCTTCACTGCAACTAGATAAGTTATTTTTATTGAACTATAGCCTTCCCAATCTACCGAGTTTGGAGAAATCCTGGGATTTTCCTCAAAGTCGTGTGAAAGTTCGTATATTTCTCAAAATCTGGGGAATTTCGGGTTTTTTGTCGCACTTCACCAAAAGTTTATCTTGTGACTTCCAAAAGCTGACAGAATTTTCCATAAGGTCGGTAGATTGGGTCAATTTATCAACACTTGCAATATTGAATATCCTCAGGAGTCACATGAAATAAAATAGTACGTTAAACATATGGCTTTGTGATATATGATGTCACATTTCGGTCACACGAATTGTTACGCCTACCATGACGTTGCACTGTCTTTAATTAAGACGATTACAGTACTGCAAACCATAATACTTGTGTAAACCTGTACAACGATACAAATTGACCTATGTGAAATTTTACTAGCCATAGTCTACAAATTGGTTATTATCGCAGTGGGAACTTTATATGTGGCACTTCATAAGCGATATCATCGCTTCTGGAGTGAGTTATCTTCTGAAGAAGCTATGTTAAGTGGTTGTTAATACACGGTATCTGCTGGGATCACGGGGTAAGTAATAGTGAGGTTAGACGCAGGGTATTGGAAGATGATGGTAAATCAGTTGATGAGGTTATGAATCTTCATTGACTGAGATGGTTGGGCCACGTGCTGCGTGTGCCTTAACACCGATTACCACGACGCACAATGCTCACTGGTGTTAGGGATAATTGGAAGAAAGTTAGAGGCGGCCAAACCAAAACGTGGCACCAGTGCTTGAAGACATTAACTTCTGGTTTGAGCCATGTTGGTAGATGCAGACTACCTGGTTGGGGTCCGCGTGATTATCGTAACCAATGGTTGGAGACCTTGGTGACATGGCTCAGAATCGATCACAATGGCTTCAGTGTATACACTCTCTGTCTTCCCTTAAACTAAGAGATTAAAATCGCTTCATATCTTCCTTTCTAGGTACTAATTCTTTCTTCCTGTACTATCTCCTTATACACAATCTTTCTTTTATATACTACTACCTTTGATGTGACTACTATGAATTCGGTGCTCATCTTGTTGTGCTAATGCGGTATGGCAACTTGGACCGATGCATATACGTGCCTGGTCCTACGTCGCAGCTGACTGACTGTCAATACACTTACTCACTCTATTTCCGTTTAACTCTTTGGAACACATTGCCACTGTTAGTGCTTCCGATTGTCTTTCCAAGAGTCTACTCCCAACTTGGAGACATGGATTTTGACTACACTAACTTTCTATTGTTGTTAGGTGGTAGATTTTTCTGATTATGATCGTAACGATACTGAATAAGTCCACGTGTTAACCATAATGGAAAATATGTTTTTATGACTTTCTTGAGTCTCTTCATCTTGACAACATTGATTAAATTAATTAAGTGTAATCGTTCCATTTTTGTGCAACTAGATGTATTGAATGTTCGCGTATCAGAAAAGATATCCAATTTTTGACATTGCCACCCGAAACTCCAAATAATTTAAAGAAAATATTTATTTCTACTGAAGATCAGGGATATTGAGTGACAATCTTCCCCAACCTCGCAGATGTTAGACCATTAAAACTGAGAAACAAAGATTTTATATACTCGATCACGAGTACTCTCGATGTGGTTGGTTGGCACTTACATAGGACCTGACACGAATATATCTCGGCCAAACTTGCTGTATCACATTTCAGCATAACGTGAAATGAAATTGACGAAATGAGAATTGAATTAATTTCAACTACAGCAGAAAGTTAATCAGTGTAGAGACAATTCGAAATAAACGAGAATTAAGAGTTAGTAGTAACACAATTCAGGATTGGAAAAAAAACGGTATGGATGCAACTTCATTACTGTGACTATGGAGTATTAAATTAATGTAATTTGCTTATCAACTATACGTCTATGTATTTTCCTTTGAGTCATTGATCTTATCTGAACATTGCTGAAACTACTGTAATTAAAGTAAATAGTATAGTTCAAACCAATAGCATCATGACAGAAAGTCAAGTACCCGCGCTGAACGCAAATTACTATGCCAAGAAATTACTCTACGTAAAGATTCTAAATAAACATGTTTTGCACTTGCCGAGATATTGTCAAATTTGTAGGTAGGTGGAATTTAGAAAATGTCTATAATTAAACAGATTAAGACTTTGTATTAGAAGAAAGCCATCTGATGAACTTTTCCTATAAAATGGCATGCTTTCCTAAATATGTTTTAAACTAGGTGACGTGGTCCAAATCTATACAAGTGAAGCAAACAAGTCCTTATCCTGAAGATTTCGATTACTTCCTTGGATTTATCATTTCCATTTTCTTGGTAATGGTAAACCTCATGTTTCTATTCCCAAATAGCTTGTGCGTATGTATCCTGTTTAAAAACAATTCAGTACAACCCAAAATATTTCAAATATTTTCATCTTTTACATAAGCTCTATCAGATATAATCTACCTTTATAATTTCTCGATTCACCAGTGAAGATGGCGTTTTTCAGTTTAGACTACACCTACATCTTATGGTTTGTTAACTTCAGAAAAATACCTAGACATTAGATAATTTAATTACATAAGTAGACTAAATCCCCGGCAATTTTATGAGCCCTGTAAATTTGCAATAACAAGCTAATCTGTGTTTTTCTTCAATCACCAAGTATTATTAGTCCTCTTATGGCTCGGAACCTGCAAGGTCTTCTTCGTCTTGCCGTTGAACATTCTGAAAATGCCGCCACAAAACCCATGGACCCAAAGGTAATCCTACTTTTAAGTAGCTGATTTCAAAAAATAGGATGCCGAATGGTTGGATAAAGCACTAAGTGCATCAACTGTCGACTTGAGTAAACAGCTGAATAACGATGTCCAGACGTTATCATGCCATTTGTCATCGTCGGAGCCCGATTTAATTGAAATGAAGAATGTCATTGAAGATTTGTTAACACTGACTGAAGATTTGGACTTGTCGAACGACTTTTTGATTGTTGGAGGTCAAGATGTACTACTTAAGCTATTATTTTGCGGCCCACCTTCCTTAAGAATAGATGGATTGAAACTCTTAGCAAATATCACTCAAAACAATCCTCGAGCTCAAAGTTTGTACACTGAAAACGGCGTACTGGCTCGACTAATTATGCTATTTGAGGAAGAGACAGATTTAGAATTTTTGAGACATCTGTTACTAGCCATATCCTGTGAGTATTTTTCACCAATCAATGTATTTTAATGTTTGTTTGGCTGATAAAAGTTTGAACTAGCCAAGGCTCACATATTTAACATACATTACATATCATTAGGTTTACATAACAAACAGCAAGGGAGTCGTACGATTTTTGATATAAATCATAAAGATAGCGAAGATAAATATACTCGAGTATTAATATAGGTACCAACAGGCTGGAATTGTATAATCTGCCTTCATCACTTACTATACTGAACTTTTTATATCGTATTTGATAAATAACGATCTTTGGTGGTACATTTATACTGAACCTATGGAAATCGAAGGCTAGATGATCTCGTGTTTAATATTCCAGTGATTAACAAACTCAACGACAGTGGATTTATTTCAGTGTGTGATCAATAAATAGGCAGTCCTAATATTTTTTGAGGTAATGAAAGTTGTTTGAAAACTCAATCAGAAGTTAGAAGTTCAACATGCTAAATAGTTTTCTAGTGGTTCCCGAACTGAGTCCACTATGTCACATACAGCTGGCGATGTTTCTTGTATACTTTAATCTTGGACATTCATATCTAGTTTTTGATTTATCACACACAGGTACCATACGAGGTTATGTGCCAGGAATTGATGTATTTGTGGAATCAAAGGGTGTTGACCTTGTCCTCAGTGTACTTATCAGAGAAGTGAAGATAGGAAAATCAGATAAAGCATATCGCTTGGTTTCCAAAGGTGCATTCCTAGTCTACTGTGTTCTACAGGAACTTGCTTCAAAGCATATACGTGAGTACTTTGTTTTCTATTTCGCATGCACTCCGTTAGTGTTTTTGAAAAATCTGGATGTTAGACGTTTGAATTTTGCTGGCAGAAGGCCGGAACTAAACTATCCTATTTCCTCTGTATACCGTTACTGGAGATTATATATATATATATATATATATATATATATAACAATTCGGGTTAAGTTCCGGATGTTCGTTTTCCCCACCTCACTTTCGTTAAAACTCCGTATATATGTCTGAGTGAAACTATAAGCACGGTTCTACAAAATCTCCTGAGGAGGACTATCTCTGTTGCGAGAGGCAAAACAATCAAATCAATTATAGTAAAAAGTCAATCATAGTCTCAACAGAATAAGTGGGATCGTAGAGTAAGATATTCAAAAGGATACTAAAACCTAAGATTTCTAAAATAAACATATTTGTGCAGTTGATGCTGATTTTAAGGCATGTCTTCATAATTTTTGTTAGATTTCGACATGTACTCTTGGTCCTATCACGTTTTATCAGTCAGCTCAATTGATTGGTTGTGATTTTAAGCGAACGGGACACTGCAAACCTCCTAGTCAGATTTTTGTTAGTTTGGTTCATTTCTCTGTATAGGCCTAATTGCACTATAAATGTCTTGAGTGACCCATTTCATTTAGGCTGATAGGGGCCATTGAAATTTGTAATGTTCCTCTTTGGCTCAAGTCTTTGACCAGCGCACTCAACTCAACTGAACCAAAAACGTAAATAATCCAAACATAAATGTCTCCAATATAAATACAAGAACAAGCGTACAAATACAATAACACTAGGATCTCGAGGGAAGTATATTCTAAAGTCCTCAGGTTCTTAATGATCACAGAGACAAATTGGCATGTTCCCATTCAGCACCCAAGCCGATTCCCTACGCGTTAACTCTTTTAATAAAATCTACGCTAGGATAAATTAAAGTTACCTCTATTCTTCTTATCGCATTTTCCAGTTTCTATTCAAATAATATTTCTCTTTCCTGTTGTACTTATCAAAGAAATACATTCATTTTTCAGCATCTGGATCTTCGTCCATTGTACACAAAGTGATAGATCTATTGTATCTCCTAGACGATCCACAGGAGCATCTACTGGCTACTTTATCATTTCTCCTCCGTCCATTAGGTAGTCACTCAAGTTATACTACGAATATACAGTCCGAAGAATCTTACAAATCATTTTCTAACTGGCTACAACGGCACTTAGACGAGCTTCGCAAAATAAATGACCCAGCTGATGAAGAACGTCGCGACTACATAGATAGTTTGCTAAAGGTTCTATCTTGAACAACACTTGTTTGTACATCGTTAGCATTTCTAACAATGTAACTGTGACAGGATTATAAATTTCTTTGTTAAATACTCACAACCTTTATTGATGGTACAAATAATCTAGTTGGTTTCGCGTCATTTGTTGAAGAGTTATCCGGAACGAGTATGAGCAGTATCATCTGCCCACTACTTGACTGCCGAAATGCTATGCCATTTAGGATCTGTATACAATACAGCAAGAAACTACTATAAAGTATTTTCCGCACCACTCTCGCTACCAAATTGAATTTAAGATCTACAGCCTCGATATACCAACAGATTCTGTTAGCTAATTGCTGCTAGCCCTGCAACATTGTTGACGTACGTCCATAACCAAAAGTTTCTGGTTGATTATGATTTAATAAAGCAACATATATGTTACGAAAAGCCATCTGTTTCGTCTGTCACTTTACCCTAGTTTTCAAAACTTTTCTGCTTACATCTGCAAGTACTTTCTTAGATAAGCAACAGCTGTTCAATTACGTCTCTGTATAATAAGTGCCATGACCATTGTTATCAGAAGTTCCTCCTAAGGTCCCAAATATGGAGCTATGAGCCATTTACTACTATAATTGAGAAGCTACTAAGTTAGGGCTAAACCAAACCCACAATTTAACGAAAGCAATCGGATAAAAACCACTGCGTTAGGTATTTCTCAATAGGAACAGTATGATATCACAATAACGATAAAACATTGCAAAAATTGGATCTGACCGCACTACTTATCCCTATTAACTTGCCTTTTTGGTTAGCATAATTAACGTCATGACTCTGCCTAAAACCTAATTCAGCAATAGGGACTATTATCCCTAGCATTTCACAGTGGGATATTAAACGCCATTGCTTCCTAGAAATTTCCGTGATACATCCAGTCCTTTATAGTGTGCACCATCCAAAAAACAATAAGTAGTTTGGTACTTCATTTTCATTACGATCGGCTAAGTAAGATATCCGGTCATTCTTGGAATCGACTTCGGAATTATTGCCACGGGACTCGCTCTAGTAAAGTAACGCTTCACTAGAACTCGAATGATAAACAGTATAAGTATGACTGGCCCATGACTACTTCATTTATACAACACTACAGGGACATTACTATACACACCATAGCGACAATACATACCTGCCTTAACGGGAGTTTTCTAGACTCACCTAAGAAGCACGATGCATAAAGTTATAACACTCAGTAAGGAAATGAGTTCGATCCCAAGAAGTTAAGTCGCAAGAATAAGATAAGATTTGAGTTCTCCCTCAATAGAACTGGGAAAGCAGATACCTCACAATAACCCGTCCGTACTCTTTGGCTTTGTGAATGTCATTAATCTGTGAAGAAAATGCAGGACTGTGACAGTTTACCTATAGTGGTTCTTAATTGGCTGTATTCTCATAATCTGTCCAGTCTACAGCTATTGTCCACGAAATTGGTTGACTCCGTAGAACTGCGATACGTGGTGTGGTATATCAGCTTGTCGTTCCTTTCTGTTCAAAAAATTACAAGGCGTTAGTCCTTAAATTATGTGGAGAAAAACCATCAATACAACCGATTCTTGATACATACGTTCTTAGAAATACTAGAAATCTTTGAGCAGAAACCCATGGCCCCCAGTACACATATTGTTTGGGAATGTGACTTTCTCAACGAGAACATACAAAGGATGACAACTGAGTGGCATGTTATCCTATATAAATTGACATATACTTGAGCTTCGTACTCACCTACCAATGTGTACTAACACGCATAGGAATGTTGAAACATTCAGTGTATACACCCAGATACAACTGTTATTTTCGAAGACACCCCATGGTTATCTGTAGATGCTTTTAACTGGTCACGTTAATATTTAGATGGTTTACTTACAAATATGTCATCTAGCAAGGAATACGACCTCAAGCGACTAGTCGGGATGTCATTCAAATTTTGGTGACGCTACCCCGAGCTCGCAATTTTGGGGAAATGGCACAAAACCCCCAGACCTGGGAATTCCCCAAACATTGGTGAAGGTCATTTGACTTCGAGAGTTTCCTCAAACTTGGGGATGTTCACACTACTAGGAACATAAAGCAATAGATGGTTCTGTCTCGTCTGTATCAGCGTTATTTATGCTTCATGACTATCCTGAAAAGGGACCTAGCAAATAAGTACTCTCAACAATATTAGTACACGTACCGAAACTTTATACGCAAAAGACGACTTATTTGAGCTCTAGAGTGTGAAAACCTAACCCGTACCTCCAACTGACATACTGGTGTAACGAGTTTGACACTTCAAACACAAAACCTGGAGTTTGGTTCCATCCAGCATATTTTAAATAGGTCCAAACATGCCAAAAGCCGCATACAACTACGAAGTTCCACCTGAGTCGGAAACATACAGTATTTTGTAAAAGTTGCCATTGCATGACATGGGGATCGTTGACTAAATCTTAGTTACTTGATAGGACTAACAGAACGAATATCTTCAAGTACATAAATTACGTACTTCTTAAGTCACAACAAAAAACGAGTACGATAATAAAGAAAACGTGCATTACATCGTTTGAGTTTATTCTATCTTTACACTCAGTAAGATCATTTACATTCTGTTACTATAGGCGTAACTACGTGTTGGAGGTTTTTATTCCCGCGTTTATTATGCTTTTTGGCAAACCTCATATTCCTTAGGAATTTAGGATCAACCTAGGGAACTGATGTGTTAAAATGGTTAACTTACGCCTTTAAGTGACGGGTATCGTTGTTTCTTTGGTTTATGGATACCGTTACGGTGCTGCTTTCGATCTGCATATACAAATGAAGCGACCAGAATTACATCTTACTTTGATTATGACTCGTATGGTTCTTGCTCTTCGCCATGTCACACTCTTGGATGTTGACCTCGCGATTAAAGTAGCGCTGTGTACAGTGTATTCAAACTTCAAATGAAAAATTTGCTATGTGGTTATAATAAGTATTGTCCTTTAACTACTTAATATTTGTGATAAAAACTAGACTTCGGTTACAGAGGGCTCTGTTTTTATCACTAGTACTTAAGATGTAAAGGATATAAACAATCCTTCTAAAAGGTGTGATTTTGGAGTGACAGCTTGAGTAATCGCTTTCGATACCTACGAAACTGAGGAAAATGTTGAGTCATTCTTCGAAAGACTGATTGGGGAGTGACACTGTAGCAACTATTGCTGCTATATACTAGAGTAACTTATTCTAATCTTTGACAGGAATTATCCTAAACTTTCCAATCACTATCATTTATGAAGCTGATATTGAGCATTATTGTATTATTGTACGTATGTGTTTATAAATTTTCTTTTGCATCCCTCATACTTATAAATGCATACATACATACTATTCACAATGTTGGCAGTGTTTGCTATTCAAATTCCCATCTATTTCTCTTTGTCTTATCGCTTAACTGAAATACCAAGTGCTTGAAATATACGTTCATATCCAACTTTTATATCTAATTTATTATTAATTGAACTTCCAGACGGAGCTTAAGTAAGATTCTTTCCAAAGTTTGTGAATAAAAATCCATCCACGTTCACGCTGTTGTAATCTGTTCTTGATTCATTCAGATGTATATTTCGTTGATCTTTTGATACCAGTGAAGGTAGTACCATTTATATTATATTCCAGTTTTTTTTCATATGATTCACCGAATTTTAATGTTTTTCCTGAATTACGCATACGTTATTTTATTTGATATCAAATAAAATAACTTAAATATATATTTAAGTACGGCGGCCGCCATATAAATTCTCTCCTCTTTTCTTCATTGTGTTACTTGAAATAACTGGGGTTGTGTATTTTTGATTGTAAATCAAAACACTCTTCCCAAACTATGAGCACTCCACGTTATAAAGAATTTAAGTATCACCTTTTGAACAACCCGGATATTTGTTTTTTTTGCACTTGATTTGTCTAGTGATTGAACATTTATTGGTTGAATAACTGGTTGGTTATAATTGTTTAGGACCATCATTTACCCAATCACCTTGTTTTGGTTTTGACTGGACGATGACTCGTATCTAAACTGATCTTAACAGTCATTTCTTATTGTAAACTGCTTTATTTTGGGAGCTACATTCGCGTGAATTAAATAGGACCGTTGTTCTATTACCATTATTAAGATCCCATTAATTGATGTGCGTTGGTTGTCGTTGAACTTGACGAAGATCGACGAACCGTTCGACATCAAGTAACCCGACTGCCAGATGATTTAGCTAGGGCCCAGTGACATCTTACTGGCACTACACTCTTCAGTCATATATCTCAAAAGGATTTTTTTAGATGTACGAGTCCTATGGCAGATTTGGTGCAATGACGGGAACTGAGCTATTTTAATCATCATGGCCATATGTCCCTGATTTGTTTTTTGTACTCTACATGCTGTTAGTATAATGACTTCTAGAGGGCGATGATCTCCTTGGAATATAAAGACATAGTGCGAAGTTACTAAAGGAACTGAATGCACATAACTGACTTTAAACCACTTAGACAAACATCAACTAAAGACGTCACGACAAACGAAGTTTGACAACGCTATCATTCGAGGATCCTAAAGCCAGTTAAACAGGAAGTCAGGAACAAAGGGTTGTAAAGTATGTTTGAACAATGGTCGATTATTTGTGGTGTTTGTAATTCGAATTAAGTGATTGTTACTGGAGATAGCACAACATACTCACTCGGGATCTGGTGTGAACACCTGACTTTGCGCCTTCAGCCCATGGAGTTCAATAAAACTAGTGAGTTAGGTATCACCATCGACAATTTACATAACTATTTATCTTGGGGTTTAATTTACCATCATAGAGAGTTCGATTTTTACTTTTAAACGATGCTGGGCAGATACTTACTCTACTCGATATCACTGGATGTTGTATGATTTACCGAGCTTCGTTAAGACCAGTGGTAGTTTATGTGGAATGATCGGTCCTCAACAAGGCTTGGTCGATGCAGTGGAGCCTTTACATCACCTCTTT